CACCCTATCTTAAAAAAATTGGAAAGTCAAAGTTCACTAAAAAAACAAGAGTAAGTTACAAAAATGGTGTTTGTATTTTCAGGTCATTAAGTTTAAAATTTAATATGTTAAATACTTATGGTTTATGGTTTGTGAAAATTAGATAATGCAGGTTCATGATCAACTTTTTTTTTTTCTTTTTCTTTTAACAATTATATATATATATATATATATATATATATATATATATATATATATATATATATATATATATATATATATATATATATATATAATTGTTTATTTTTATTTTAATAGAATTAGATTATTTATACAATTATTTTTATTTTCTTAAATGATTTATCTAAATTATATAAAATCATATATTATTATTATTATTATTATTATTATTATTATTATTATTATTATTATTTGTTTTATTTATTCATCTTTTGTGGTTTAAAAATCTTTTAATATTTTCAATGTTTTATTTAAATATATTTTTTAATGTTGTTTTTTTGAGGTTTTGTTCATTTAAACTATATAATGATTTTTTGACCTTTTTTTCGAATAAACAAATTAAAACAATAGCCCAAATAACTATCAGTCTTCCAATAAAATTATTTAATATTTTATTTTTTTCTTTTTCTTCTAACGATATATATATATATATATATATATATATATATATATATATATATATATATATATATATATATATATATATATATATATATATAATTGAAAACAATAATATTGACATTTTAAAATAAGTATGAAAAATACACTTTGCAAAATAAAAAAATTGTCATTATCCAAAAACTAAAAAACAAAAATATTATTTTTAATAAGGTTTATTACAATATATATATATATATATATATATATATATATATATATATATATATATATATATATATATAAGTGTTAAATTTTTCCAAAAATATGGTTTGACCATTAATTTTTAATAAATTTCGAAAAAACAATTATTTTTTCTGTAAACATTTCGACGCAACGACTGTTAACTGTAAGAGTCGAATCAATTATTTATTAATTTTAAAAAACACTATATTTTTTCTAAAAATCAGTTTAATTACCGATTTATGAGTGTTTTTTTTAGCAAAAATAAAATTAGTGATTTTTTAGAAATAAAATACAAGTGGTCACCATAGAATTTTTATAGAAAAAAAAAAAACCGGGAAAAAATTAAAATATAGTTTAGTTGGTTTATAGGAAAAGCTAGTTTAGTATATCCCTTCAATTTAATTTATAAACAATAAATCATACGCAAAAATAAAATATAATAAAACATGGTTAAAGTCGTAGGCGTATTTATCAATTATCAGTCGTTAGCTGCTTCACTTGCTTGGGTATCGCTGGAATGAAGGTAGCATCTACTTTGATACTCCAACACGAGAGTTAGAGGTATATGCAGAGAGCTCTTGATTCGGGGATGGTTGATACCAAGGTAGAGACCATATCCAGGTTGGCTCAATGGAGGATCGACAATTTTGGACCTTGTACTTACAAAAGATCAGAACCTTTTAAAATCGGCATATGGAATTGGTAACAAATCACTCTCTCCATAGTCCATAATTAATCATCTCGACTGCTTCATTTATATCTTATTCCTCATGATAATTGATTGAGATGATGAAATAGGCAAATATCAGTCGAGAAGAATCGACATCTTTACGTTCGTCTGTTTCCAGAGCCGTCTCGCCTATCGAAAGAACAGCCGCCGATTGCCAAATTCATAATTCGAGTTACCACTGCGGGATCCAATCGCAGACCATACATCTCACCAAGTACGCACTCTTATTTTATGCGTGTCTTCTCATCTTTAACACTTATCGATTAGTAGTGTTCCACGCATCAGCAGTCTCAAGTCTTGTGGAATACTACTGACTTTTGAATTAATGGAATTTGTGACTACATAACATGTTTTTAGGGTTTGTTCATTAATATCTACGAGAGTTGCTGTATGCGTATCAACAGATAATTTAATAAAGTATTTCAGTAATCACTATTGCTTAGCGAGGAATCAGTCAACAAAAGGGAACGTGAACTATAGCAGATTTGGGAACAGGTTTAAGTGTGAAGGGGAGGGATCGTTTCCCCATTTGTAGACCATACGAGAATCAAATCCAACAGATAGATCACTCTTGAAGCTCTGAGTAGTTAACACTTCATGGGGCATACCACGGTAGAACCTAAGATCTCAATTATGATACTTGGGGACGTAGGAATACAATAAAGGAACTAGGTTTATAGAGTCTCTCATTCTATCCAAGACAACCAAAGGCATATCACCTAGAGGTGAAAGGTGATAGTTTCACACAATCAAAGAAGCAATCTTCCAAGTGTTTTGGTATTCAATCAACTAATAGTATCTTGGGATTACAAAGCTATATTCACACATACATAATTACATTTACATATGTGTAAATACTTGTATATATTTATGTCTATACATAGTTATGCATGTATATAAAGTACATATAACGTATCTGACTATATAACATTATTTCACGTGATGTCCTTAGTTTACCTTTTTTCTTTTTCTTTTTTTTACTATATAACTGTGTACTTAAATATATATTACATTTGTCAGTTATATATATTACATTTGTCAGTTACTATGTAATTGTCAAATGAAACAACCTGGAGACATTAAATGGGTTTGTTTTCTTCATATACATATTGAGTGTAAAAGAAATAAGTTGGTTTTTAATTCCCAAATTGTGAGGTTTTGAAAAAGACAAAGTATTGTAGATTCATAGATTAAAATTTCGGATTCGAGCACCCGTATCCAGTATTTCAGAAACGGGAGTATCTGGAATTTCAGATATATCCAGTTTTGGCATATTTCCGTAGTAAAAGGTAAAAAGGATGAATTTAGTAAATGCTAGCATGTTGGGCTTCTGGGAAATGTCAAATCATGCTTTGTAAAGTTTGAGATGAGCTCCTTTTGGGCAAATTGCCGGATAGTTTATAGCTTCAAATAGTAAAGTTGGTTGGTTAATGTTGCAGTTCATGAGAGACTTCTTCGGACAAGTGAAGACTTTGTGTGGCCTGTTGATTCTACTTTCCATGGTCGATTCATCATAGATGTCGAGTTCTTGGACCTTCAGGTTTATTCAGCTAATGTAAGCAACTTCATTTTATTACTTTTTCAATATTTTCCTAAGGGTCTGCACAAAAACCAAACCTTTTTCATAACATGGGATGTTTTGTTGGACGGAATTCAACAAATATTTTCTTAATGCTTATTTTACTGAACAACTCCATAATAGTAACATACATACTTACTTTCAACTTTTTGACATAAGCAATGTACTTACATTTATTACCCATAATAGTAAACATAATTACATTTTTTATACCAATAATAGCAAGGTACTTAGATTTCATAAAATATAGTTTTCGGGATGTACCGAATAAAGTAGAAGAAGAGGCTATTTATTTGTTACCTAAACATAAGTATATTGGTATTATGAACGAGTAAGAAAAACCTAAGTACATATTGATATTGGTAGCAAGAAGATAAAACAATAATAATAGTAAGAAATTTGGGCAGGGAGAGGAAGCAAGTTCGATATGGCCTCGGGACACGATGCTGCGGTCGTCAGCAACGGACAGCATTCTGCGTTGCCTTTCGCGGATGCTGCAGGAGTCCATCGATGCTGACGTGACGATCAACACGTGTGATGGGAGTTTACAAGCCCACAAAGCCGTACTTTCTGCCAGCTCACCCGTCTTCCACAGCATGTTCCTCCACAACCTCCAGGAAAAAGAATCCTCCACCATTAACATCCAGGACATGTCGTTGGAGTCTTGCACTGCACTTCTGTCTTACTTGTATGGAAGCATCAAGCAGGAGGAGTTCTGGCGCCACCGGGTCCCACTGCTGAGTGCGGCCAATAAGTATGGGATTGGGAATTTGAAGGATTTGTGTGAGGAGAGTTTGCTGGAGGATATAAACTCAGGGAATGTGCTCGAGAGGTTGCAGGAGGCCTGGCTTTACCAGCTTGAGAAACTCAAGAAAGGGTGTTTGACGTATTTGTTTGATTTTGGGAAGATTTATGATATCAAAGATGAGATTAATATCTTTTTTAGGACTGCTGAGAGGGAACTCATACAGGAAATGTTTCAGGAGGTGCTTACGCTTTGGAAACCGGCCTGACCTCTTTTCTTTTATGTCTGCTTCTATTTGTATACATGTATGTATGGCAGTGTGTCTCGCTTTAAAACCTCAAAACGTTCCTTTCTTAATCTACCGGGTTTTGCTTTATTTATATTATTATTATTTAATATTGAAACCCGAACAACAATTATTTTCCAGATATTATTATTTTGACGCTAATAATTAAAAATTGGCAATCTAATAAATAATCGTTCTGTTAATATATAAAAATAAGATGGTTATAATGATATTGATGAGACAAAAATCGTCGCTACAGTCTTGCTTCTTGCAAAATTTGTTGATTTGGATTTTAATGTATAATATGAAAGACATGGATTTATAACAAATATGTAGTATAAATGTTGTAAAACATAAAACGACGACAAGTACAAGTACGTTTATTTATTTATTTTTCAAAACGTTTGTAGAAAGAGGTGTGGTGTCATAATATGTAAACTTGATGGAATAACCCAATATTTCGATGATGTGATAATGTTGTTTATGATCAACTTTTATTTCTATTTAATGTTGTCCAACTTCCAATCAAAGGGATGGAACAACAAAAACTTAAGTGCTTACTGAATTTCTTTAATTAAATGTTATGACTCTGAAATTTAAAATTATTTTTACAACAATAAAAAAAAATGGAAGTGAAGTGAAGTTGTTTTACCTCTTAAACAATGATATGTAAAAGTAAAACTAGTATTTGCCTGATTTAGATATGCACATAACATGGCAACTGGATTCAAAATTGGATTCTTAATAGCAAATCCTTTGTTTGGAATACACACCTAACTCATGTGTCAAAGTCCACACAGAAGAAGATAATACATCTAAAAAAAAAAAGCTTATATATATGTATGACACTCAGACACATGACATGATATTGATATGGTGTTGTCTCTCCCATTTAATACCTAAAACAAAATCTTTGAACAAAAAAGGGCAAGCAGCATCACCTGGCCGTAGCATCCCTACCAGCTCTGCGGCTAACAGCCTCACAGAGGCGACACGGCAGTGTGTCCAAACTCGTGGCCCGTGTGTCCCCATAGTTGCCAACCACACCACAGCGTCTCCAAGCATGATACTCTGCATACCCAACCGGATCATTAGCAAGTGCCTTGACATAATCAGCCAATTCCTCCATTGACTTAAACTTTGACCCATCAATAATGGAATGCGGAGGCACAAAATCCATCACATTCGGTGCACCAAAATATATGGGAACCGCCCCCGAATCCAACGCGTAAAACAACTTCTCGGTTACATAGCTCTGGGTGTAGGTGTTTTCAATTGCTAAAACAAATTTATAGTGTGACATGGCACAATGAAGATGGTCCCACCATTTAGGGGCTGAATTCGGGTCTTTAGTGCACTCCGGGTATAGAGAAAGTGCCATGTCCAGACCACCTACGTTGTTCAAGCACTTGCCAAACGAATGATGAGATAATAAACCGAGTATTGTCTTCGCGAGTTTATTCCTTTCAGGGAGACACCGTGAGGATGACCAATAAACCAGAGTTTCCTGATTATCACACCCAACATTCTTATTATTTTACTTTCTTTCTTTTCTATTACAGCATTGTAAGTACCATAAAAAAATATTTGTTATTTTGATTACGGCTGGGGTAAATGCAAAAGCCAGCAATGTACTTTCATTCATTTGTTTAGTGTGTGTAACTTTCAATTTATTTTTGTTACATCATTTTCAAAGTACGGTTGGAAAAAAAAAATCAAAGTAATTAGGCATATTTTCAAAAAAGTACAAGTACAATGTAATACAAGGAAATGTAAACGAATCTAGCATTCAGCCCTTTAAATCATTATTATCCGTGGTAAGCATTTGCAGACCATCAACTTATACAGTTATACTTTGTGATGTGTACAGTACTCAAAACTTTAAAAAAGGGTTACAATTACATGCTTGTTTATGCAACAACATCTCACATTTTCCCAATTTATGCTACAATATGCAACTACATTTTATTCTTACCACATTGTAACCGGAAACTTGTTATCTAATGGCATGGCGTTGGTTAAAAGTTTATTTACCCAATAATGTTCAACTTTTTTTTTAGTACCAATCTATGTAACCGACTCTGATTTTACAACTGTTTCAACATGTTAAATACTTTGGTCCTAGACTGAAACATGGTTTTACATTTTGTCTAAAAAACAACTTTGTTATGCCATTGCAAAAACAAGAATATAAGCCAATCAAATTGATGATTATTATAAAGAGTGAAAACATGTGGCACTTACGTTATTCTTATAGGAAGAAAGATAATAATTACGGTTATTATGAAAGAGGCCACCAGCATAAGTTGACTGAACATCATCTTTGGCATGGTAGCTGATAAAAATGTCTTCAAAACCGGATCTTTTTCGACCCGCCTCAAGATCCATATACACACGAAGCGGATCTCCCTTGCGTCTCTACAAACCAAAGTGCATCTTACATTCAATCTTGAAAAATAGGAAAAAATGACTAGGGGCATTTTTGTAAGTACACAAGATTGATTTCTTAGGAGGCAGACAAGACATCTCCACAAAAGTTCTAGATTTGCATTGACACCCATTCTATTCCTAGTTAATAACAACATAAACTCCCTTGAGCTAACCATCTTATGAAAATGGGCATACCCTGAATGATTATTTTCGCCTAAATAATTTCAAAGTTGAAATCATAATCAATTTTTGTGAATTACCCTAAGCTGATTATTCTGAATTTGCAGTAATAAATCTAGATGAAAATCCAAACACCCCTAAATTGATAAGAATTCTTTTGATTTCAGGAAAAATATGAGAGTAAGAACATTTTTTATATAGAATCTAAAAACATTTATGCCAATTTAGAATTTGAAAGGTACCAAAATTGATGCACAGAAAGCACACATATGCAAGGTGTTAAATGGGTAAGAATGGTACTCGAGATGGAGGTGTGGTGGTCTCAAAGAGCAAGGCATCCGGTTTATCAAGAAGAACAGGCGATTTCGTCCACAAACAGCTCAAACCGCATCTACAGGAATACAAATTATCCAAATTATCAGGAATCCAAGTCCATCCTTTGATCAACACACCCACATGATTCATCTTCAATTCACTGCATTGATAATCACGATCATCACGTTGCAAAGATGATGAATTTGACCCTTGTTTCATCAAATCCACATGTTTTGCTTTAAAATTAGAACAACCTACTTGAGAATCCCATTTTCTGAAAGCAGCCAACAACAGCTGAAACGGTTCTGGATCAGATTGGGGATGTAATTGAAGTTGACTTAGCGTTTGACTTGTTGGAATTGGGATTGAAGAAGTGGTGGTGGAGGGAAAATCGAAGAAAATGTAACAAAAAAGAATGAGAAGAGAGAGACCTAGCATCGTTATGGCGAATGAATTGAAGGGTTTCAGATTCAATAACATTATGGTTTAGGAATCTCACAAATCGGTAGACGTGCGACCGAAAAGTCACCTTGTCTTTCTCTTTCTGGCTAGAATACAAAGAAGGCAGAATCCGCAGATCAGCGGAACAGGTTAACTGAGATAGGTGTGGACTGTGGATCAGTTTTTGTTGGGAAAATTGCAAGATTCAATACCATCAATGTCCATGAGACGGAAGAGACGGAAGAACAAGAATGGTGAAGTAATAATTTGCAATTACAAGCGCCTTATGATTTTTGCCTTCAGTTTTTTCAGAGTCAGAGGGAGTGGGCAGTCTTTCGACCTACCAAGTTAGGTGGGATTATAAGCTTGAGTTCTATTGTTCGCGGTGGTAGTCGACAGCCTTTCAGCGCTGGTGTGCGCAATTGGTCTGATGTGGCTCGAGTGTCTTAACGATGTGAGCAAGCCATGTGAGCAAGGGTTGTATCCTTGGGAGATGGGAAGTTCGTTAGGGATTGTCGTATGGGTTGCATGCAAGGGTGTATGTTTGGATCGGTGGTTGTCTATGTTTTGTAAGCCGTTATTATGGAAAGATCCGAGGTCTTCAGCTGTATTTCGGATTCTTCGTGGGGTTCGTTTGATATGTACCTGGAGGACCATTTTGCAGGTGATATTCGTTTCATGATTAGGTATGGTTGTACATAGATGGGCTGTTTGGGTCATGTTTTGGTTCATCACCAGTGGGCGGTGGATCGAGTTCTAAGTGGGGGAGAATTGGGATTCCAGAAGCAGGATGTTCAGCTCCAGGTGAGTTGTGGTTCTCTGGTTTGGGTGTCAAAGTATTCGAGGCCATTAGTTGTTGAGTTTGTTATTCAGCGGGAATTCTCTGAAGGATTTAAGTGGTGCCAGGTAAAGATCAAGGAATGTGTCAGCTACCCTCGTGTTCAATACATTCTATGTTCATTCGGTCTTCAAGTGTGTTCCCCTCAATGGTAGAGTGGGAGCTTGGTAAACTTAGATGTTGGTAACCTTCAGGATCATCTTGAAGGTTTTCTCGAACTAGTGGGGGTAGTGATGGAATCCATTCAGTCTCACAAGTATGGGGTCTTGTTTGACCGATCATGAGGATATTTCCTGTTTTGAGTAAGGTGGTCTTCTCGATTATTTCTGGTATTTTTTTCTTGTTGGATGAAATTATGGATTTCTGAAGTATGTGTCTGGGGTGTTCCGTGTGAGCTGGGCAAGATGGCATTAGGACTTTTGGTTCGAATAATGAGCATGGTTCTTTTGGGTTTTAACTTATGATTTGGACCAAGAGTGCAACCTTTATCCTATCTGCAGATTGTATGTGACTCTGTTTTCGAAAGGCTTTGGTTGGTAGCTGTTTTGTGGTACTTAGTTGGCATTGTAATAGAGTTGTTTAGGTCCCTTCTGTTGGATTAGGTGTCTAAGCTCATAACTATAATTGGTATGTACTTGACCTGAGAGTAGCATAGTCTTTTTGGGTTGCCTTCATCAATGCAAATTGATAGGATGGACTTTTGAGAATAAGGTTATTTTTTATTTGTTAATATATTACAAGTATAATATATTAATATGAAATCATATTATTTAATTAGTATTGATCAAGAATTAATTTTGAATTAATTTAGTAATTAAAAGAGACTAATTAAATATACAGGGACTAATTTGGTAAATCAATGATTCTTATAGTGTGGGCCAATGATCAATGGTTATTTGGGTGGGTTAAACTAACATGGATGATCCATGGAGGTTAACCCATGGAGCCTAAGTAAGATGAAGAGTCATGGTGCATTAGGGTTTGCATGGATGTAACCCTAGCACTTGTCGCACTATAAATAGACACCCTTAGAGCTAAAATCGGTTGCCATATACATTCTTGGAGAGTGTGAATTGATTTTGAGCTACATAACTTATTCTCTTAAGCCTCCTTTTGCACTTGGTATTTGTAACACATTAGAGGCATCACATTTGAGGTGCTAAAGCTTTTGAAGGCCAATAACTACAATTCCTATTAAGAGGTAAGTTATCTAACTAGTAATTTTGTTTAATTGTATGCTAGTTAGGATGAATGCTTTGGAAATTCAAATTGCGTGTATAATTAGAGAAAACATAGATCCAAAGCATCTAGGGTTTCATTTGCATCATAAGGTTGTTAGAGTGCTCAAAACACATCAGTGGTATCAAAGCCTATGATTGTTTTCTGTTATACTTGATGCCTATTAATTTTCCAAATTGAAAAAATCGATTTTCTGGCTTCTGACTGGTGAACTCGTCGAGTCCGCTGGCTGACTCGACGAGTCCACTCAGTAACAGACCAACTCGACAAGTCATGTTCATGCGCTCGCCGAGTTGATGGCTCTGGGTGCTGGATTTTGAGTTTTTGGCCAAAAATGGATTAGAGCATTGTACTTTCAAATGAATGAAAGCACATTGTTATTTTTGCATGTAACCTAATGTTTCAATTATAATTGTGAGAGTAGGATCCTATAAAATGATCCTTTTTCAATTCCTTTCCTATTAAATTATAGTAATGAATTCGGACTGTTATATCCTTACATTGTCTTTGACCAACACTTCAATTCCTTCCTCAATTGTCTCCTTCATGAACCTTAGCATTTAGTAGCCACATTTGGTAGATCCGGGCTAAACTAGACACTACACAATTACATATAAAATGATCATTGCAATTGATCCAAAAAATAAAGTTAAAACTACAATTTCAATAAGGAATTAAGTGCTGACCGTAACATTCACCCAATTTAGTTTAACCCTTTTGTTGGATCCACTTTGTGTAGCATACAAAACCATTGCCTTATAAAAAAACATTAACAAAATTACTCACGAATCAACAATTTGCTTACGAATTTATATTACTTACGAATCAACAACTTGCTTCAACTGCCTATTGAAATTGCTAGAACTCAAGGAATCAAGATAATAGCAAGTATCCGATTTCATGTCTAGTACACCCAATACCCAATGTCTTCTACAAAAAACCACAAACAAAATTAAGTCAAATAACATAATTGCAGTCATTTTCAAAATAAAATGTCAAAATCAAACCCAAGATTGTAGGGCATAAAGATGATGTCATTGCCCTTTTTACTAGACAACCGATCTGCTAAACCTCTGCTTGCATTGTCAATATTCTTAGATTTCCCTTTATGCATACTTGGCGAGATTACAGCCAGGTTCACAAAGCAAATTCTATGATCTCTTTTTGGGGGGCCATACTTCATTTTGTTGAACAACACCTTCCTATCATACAAACACTACATTCATTAGACAAATTTTGTTTTAAGACACAATGTTATTTAAATTAAAATTCTTGCACTTACATCATATAAGACACAATGACAGCATCGGTCAGCTCATTCATTGTAAGAACTACTTCAAAATCATCCCAAGTTAAATATATGTAACTAGCGTACCCACAAAGATCATTCTCACTCTGCACTTTTATGGAATCAACCTTGGTAACTTGTCCATCAGCCATCATTGCAGTCATTTTCAAAATACTACTCTTCTTAATCCTTATCCTTGTCTTCATTTGTGCTTTGGTCCACCTTCTTTGCAAAGTCACATTTTGTTTCTCCTTCTTTTAATCTTATTTTCTATTCCATTCCCTTCTTCCACATCACATGGTTCTTTTTGTTCGTCAACCATTTTTCCAGTCCCCTTTTCTTTCTTATTACTTCCTATCATGGTTCTAAAAAGCGTGTCATGGCACGCCTCAAGGCGTGCCATGGTGCGAGGCGTGGTGTAGCCGTTACGAAAACGTCCAAGGCGGGTTTGTGAAGCGTGGCGCCCAAATAACGTGTCAAGGCGCGCCTAATCGCGTTATGGCGCGGTTTTTTCAAGGTACGAGTTTTTTTGTTTTTTTTTGTTTTGTTTTTTTATCGGGCCAAAAATAAATGAGTTTTTGTTAACTTTTTTCTATAATATATTAATATAACACTTCTAAAAACTTCACATATTTGATAAAATTCAATAATTATATTATTTATATCTTTTAATGTATATAATATAGTCACGCCTTGAAAAACATCATGGCTCGCCACGGCTTGTCATGACTTAACTTTTACCTTGCCGCCAAGCCACGCCTTATGTTATTTAGAACATTGCTTCCTATTTCTTCTTTTAAAGGTGTTGCATCTTCCTTCACTGATGTTGCATCTTTCTTCAATCGTGTTGCATGTTTTTTTATTGGTGTTGCAAGTTTTTTCACAGGTTTCGCCACCATTTTTCCCTACAAAAAGTATCAAAAATACATAATGAAACAGGAATCATTTACTGAAGCTGAAAAAGAACTCACTCAAATATCAGAAAAATTAAGAAAACCAAGGGCAAATCTGTGAAAATTGTATGTTTTAAAGGAGGATCGGATAACTAAGTGTATTGGCCAACTTAGTATGTGCAAATAGTCTTACCAGGTCAGAGCATCAAATAACTAAGTGTCTTAGCCAACTTAGTGATTGGTTTTAGCCATAAGAATATCTTATATGCTCATGCAAACCCTAATGCTTGGATCTAGGTTTCATAATTGTACATGCAATTCATCCAAGACTATAAACCCTAGATCTAGCATATGATAATAAATATAACATATGAATTAGGGTTTAGATCATACCTTGATTGTTATGTAGCAATAACAATCCCAAATCCTTTTTGTAATGACTTTAGAAAGCTTAGAGTCACAAATGTCACTCCTCTAATGGTTCACAAACACCAAGAGCAAGATGATGAAGAAGAGAAGAGAAGGAGACACCCAAAAACCGTCCAAAACCCTAAGGAGTTACTTGCCCACGTTTTTGGTGCTCTAAGGATCTTTAAATAGTGAAGCTATTAGGGTTATCAAACAAGGAAACCCTAATTTGGATGCTTAAGCCCTAAGCAACTCATGAACTCCTTCCTTAAAGGCCCTAGGACGATTTCTAATGGGTTTCCCCATAGAATTCGTCCACCCCTTTAATAGGGAGTCCATTAGCTCAATATTCAATTATCATACAATTGATAGTTCAAGTCCCTTAAGTTTAATTAATCTCTTTTAGCCATAAACTTAATTCTTATTAATTCTTGACTAATATTAATCAAACAATATGATTTCTCCTTTAATATATTATTCTCGTAATATATTAATAAATCATATTTAATCCTTTCTCTCCATAATTCATCCTATCAAGTTGCTTTGGTGAAGGCAACCCAAAAGGACCATGCATAATCGGGTCAAGTACATACCAAAATAGTTATGGACTTAGACACTAATCCAACAGTCTCCCACTTGGATAAGTCTAATAACTATTCCGCGTATGACTTCAGATCCTGATCTGCAATCGTAGCTTTCTAAAGTCGTTGTCAACTCTGATCTTATCAGATACGCATGTCCTTTAGATAAGGGATCATATATTCCTCCATTCTAGATATTATTGTATAGACTAAGACATGGATCTAAATCATTCTCTCTGTCTATGGGCTATTTCCCGAATTCAGATTAATGACGACTGACAACAGACTACAATTGAACACATCAATTTAGTCCCGGCTTGGCCAAGCACTTAGGTGCCATCACTAAATCATCGAGGGGCCCACATATATCGCTTTTATCCTACTTTGGATAAAAGGAACGGATAAACTTTGACTCAATGCTCGCTTGTACTCACTCACCAAATGACACACAACAATATGTTTTATAACACCAAGTTACTGGTGCGTTTACAGATTATCAATGTGCAACCGACTCGCAAGATACAACTCACACATCTTGGTTTCAAGAATATAAGATATTATCGTCTCCCTAATCACTCGTGAGAAAATCCATGAAGTGATCAAGGTGAGCGTGGGTTTAATCCAATGCTCAAATCATATTCATAAGCACTCATGAACGTTGCAGAAAACATTTGCTTGTGTTCATTCATACCTACTTCCAACATATGAACGACTGTGGCTCGTTCGAATAATTTTACTGTTCTTAACCAATTAAATTATTCAGGAAGTCGAAACATGAAAAGTGAAACACAAGAATAATACTAATTCCATATGGCCTCACCTTTGAGTATAAATAAAACACCTTTTATTTATCACCATATCGATTACTCATTATTTGTCGTTTCGGGTAATCAACTTCTTACTTGAATTATTACCACACTTGTCCCATGCTCTCAGCATCCACACAATGTTTACCTATGGTTCTTACTTTGTGAAATAGATCAAATGAACACATTACCAATCATACTCATTTCACAACTCCCAATCCTTTCTACAAGTGAAAGAATATCAAATTATTGTCACTTATAGAATATGCTAGATTCTAACATTTTATGCAATGATCCTTTCGTAATATCACTGCACTAAACTCACAAGGACTATTGCCAATGAATTACAAAGCTCTCTATCGGAAATTGTTACAAGATAATTCCATAGATGTGATGTCTCTCACTCAAAGTACATTCCTTTGAACATCCTTTTTGCATAAAGTTTTCTAATCTAGACATAGATTCTTAATATCCAACTCCCAATATGGAAACCTTTCCATACTTACCATATGACAACTCATTCTTAATAGAATCTTATCTATTCATAATAATGTCGATATGCTCCATCCAATATCATACTTCCAACTACTCACAAGCGACCAATCCTCAACAAGCTTTGGATCGTCCTTTGATAGTTGTTTAATTATCTTAGTCAAAACCAATTATAGTCCTTTTTCCCTTTAAATGCGTTAGACATTTGGAAAATTTTAGAATGGTCAAATATTATAGCACTATCAATCAATCCTATACCTGAAGCGTATAGGACACGATGCATAATGTCTTACATAAATATGTGATATTTTATCAATCTTCTGCCATAATATTTTATGTGTCTCGTTCTTACAATTCGAACTATGAAGAGGAATACCGTAATCATAATCGAAATGTAAGAACATACTATGTATCTTTGACCAAAAATATTAACATTCCACAACCTAAGCCTTTAGATTTGAAATGAAGCATAATATTCTCTCCCTTAATTATAGCAAAACAACTATTCAACCCTTACAACTTTGCAAAGTATGACTCTTGTTTTCTATAATTAATATTGCTAACTTGCAATACTTGCCTTAATAATCATACAATCATAACATTTATGCTCCCACTATCATGATGATTATTTTAAACATAACGCTTATGCTCCCACTAGCTTTGACATGTATTCAGAAACAACTTAACTTTCAGAAAAACAATGCCTATTGAATTTATTTAAGTTCATATTTCTAATACCCAATGCTTTGATAATCTTTTATCAAGGCTTTTTGAACTTATACACTTTTCCTTTAGATAGCTCATATGTGTGTCTAAATAATTAAGACTAATTGCCAAATCTCACAATTCGAATCATGGAAAGGGATACCATAACCATAATCGAATTCGAGAATACAATTTCACAATCACCATCTTCTTAAAATCTTTCTTAGTGAAAGCATTTCCTCATAGTCATTTTCATGAAGGAGGGAATCTTATAACACTTAGATTTTAATGGTGTATGTGTTCCTATCCATGTGAATTTGTCAAAAACAAAGTTTACGACAAATTCAAACTCATATGGACCGAACTTTCTAAATCTTGATTTCTTGCCTTACGGTAACACGGCTGCCCACCATGTCTTCCAAGTAGTTAAGCAGCTCACCCTTTCCCATCAATGTACTTTTCATTGATTAAGGTCCTTGCCTTTTATGCATTCAAATGAGAACTCATAGAACTCACATGCATAATTAACTCGATTGGAACGACGCAAAAACAAGATAATGTCAACACGATAGGTTGTAAACCTCAAGTCGTGTGCTAGTGATGTTCAATAAGGTTTATTTTGATTTGTTCTTGAAACCTTTCAAGACCATTAAGACTCCCACTGACTCCTTGACATATAAGATTCTCTTGTCAATAAACATTTCTTGACAAACAAATATTCAAGAGTTAGTGTAGTTTTTATCAAGACAAAAACACTTCACAAAATTGGTCCTAGTTGATCTTTGTCTTATCCAAGACATCACAAATTTCCAATTTCAAATCTGCAAGAATAAGAAAAACTTTTTCCATATTCTACATTTGATGAGTGTTATAAACCTTCTTAATACTTGTCACTCAATTTCACAATCTAAACTTTACGACTTGTTTTTGGAACTATGTATGATTGGCTTCTTGATTCAACCATTTCTTCAATTCTTGATTCCTCTTTTCAGACATACAATTGCACTAAGACTTGTTTAGAGTATCGATTGAGATATGGTTCTTAATCATTATGACTTATCATAAAACATAATAAAGGTACTCTCCCTTCTTCTTAGAATAGAGAAACTTTTATCTTTCTGCCTACTTGATTCTTCTTATTCTTTCTGCTATTGATTTAAACCTTTTCCAATCTGTAACATCCCGGAATAGCAAGAGTAGAGTTGAAGGGCTAAAAGTGTAAATCTTGAAGGGCGACTCGGCGAGTCCATGGATGGACTCGGCAAGTAGAGTCGCGACTTTGGTCGTGTGTCAAGCGACCTACTCGGCGAGTCCAAAGATG